ACACAATCTTCTTCTCACGCTCATCACAATCCAGATCTTGCTTGTGGAACTCAGATTCAAGAGGTCGCCGGGCCTGACCTAAATCTCGTTGAATCCGAGTGTTCATTGTAGCAAACACGAGGTTTTGTGTAGATAATTACAGGCACTGAGCAAGTAATGTATAAAGAGAAGTCACAAGTAGTGCCTGAAATGCCTGCATATTATGAGCTGTGTAAAAAAAAAGACTGATTCGTTCAAATGCACACGCCTGTGTCATCTCCATTGTGTATAAAAAAATTTGTGTTGCTGTGTAGAGCCTAGCATACGGCAACTTTTGATTCCATAGATCAGTGCACAATTCATTACATAGATCTACGTCAAGACTAGCTTATCATTGTAATGATCAGTTACCAAGGGGAAAAAGACAGTGACGCGTTTGTATCTCTGCGACGTTCAACGCCCGGACCGCTAGTGACCCCCCCTCCCCTCCCCGACACGCACACACAGCCACACGTGTGCAGACCGCCCATCCGACCCAGACACACGCGAGACTAGACTGCGCGTGCCAACAACGCATGTGTTGGTATGAAAAAAGCCCGCTGATAGGTCGCAGGCAATCGGGTAAATGAATAATGGTTCGCGATGCAGGTGCAATGGATCATTTCCGGGAATAGATAAAGTTCGTTCTGAGAGAAGAATGAGCGAAGCCACGTCTGCGGGGGCTGTTCACCCTGGAAGCGACCTCGTTGAATCTGAGCTCGCTGATTTAAGTGCTCGTTGAATCCGGGTTATTTTTCTTGATTTTAAAGAAGAAAAAAAACGTGGAATCTCATCTCGTTCCACTGTACCTGAACCATCAGGTTAGTAAGTGCGAGGGAAAACAAGACCATGAATAACAATACTATGACAAAAAAGAAAAATGACAAAATCTGCAGAAGTTGGCAGAGAAGTCTCACCACAATAATGCGGAATCCTCCATGTATGGCTAAAAAAACTAAAGAGAAAGTTTACAATAACAGTCCAGAGCTCAGAGCTTGTAAGACCTACCAGTGGTTACCCCCCCTCCCCCCCCTCAAACTATGGGCTCAAAGTCAAAAGATATATCTGAATATCAATACCTATTGCAGAAACCTTTATGGTTCTACAGTATATGTGAGGCAGCCTGGAGGAATAAAAAATAATCAATGTAAAGAAACTTGCATTTTTCCACAGGTTTTTGAATTTTTTTCAAATTTTCGTTTTTAGGCTCAACACCTTTCAAGCCCATTAAAGAACTCATTTCTGTATGGCTTTTTCTGAAAAGCGTTGATTAAAGGTACAAAAAATGTAAATTTTCAGCTACCACGGACTCTTAAGCTAAGGAAATAACTAATCTTTGGCGGCCATTTTCTCACTAATTTTACCTCTGAAAACAGGTGACCCCCACCCCTTCATTCTCAAATATCTCGACTTGTATTAAAGATAAATGGATATTTTTTTCACCCAAATAAAGACAAATGAACAAGCTTTAAGATGATACCAATAACTCTACATGCCAAAAAATTGACGAGAGCCTGATTCCACCACGCTGCCTCACATATGTTCTATCTATGAAGAACTTCAAAACAAAACAACAAAAATCCACTGGATTAAACTCTGTAACAATCAATCAGGAACAAACCACATCTAAACCTAAAAAAAGTAATACAGTGGGTGTCGCATTCAACAAGGTCACATCGAACGAGAAGTCGGCTCCAAAGAGGCAATCCTTAATCCCCAATTTTCCCCTCTATATCTCTTTGTAAATGTACGTCAGCTCCAACGAGGTTGCAAACAGACGGAAGTCGCTTTCAATGAGGTCACGATAACCAAATAAAAACAATAAGCGGCCCCAAAAGCGAATAATTTTTCTCCTTTCTCTCCATCTCACGTGAAGTACAAGGCCCATCCTCGATTCCTAACGCATTGTATAGCTAGATCTAGTGTGCCTCCTAATATGGGCCCCAAAGCCAAGAGGATGGGCAAGGGTAAGCCTATGGTAGGGATGGAAAGGGGTGGTGGGAACGCGATGCGGGCTTTGTGAAACTAGATGGATGGGTAGGTCTAGATCGAGACCTTCATTTTGTTCAATTTTCTTTTCTTACCCTGTTCAGAAAATCCAACCTCCTGCCTTTACTTTATGTAGATCTAGACCTAGATGTGAGAGGGTATGTTTCCACACCAGAATTGTTCCGAGAAAAAAATATTCAAAAATGCAGAAATGACGGTCAGAACACAGCCCAAACACGTGCACACTGATGCTGTCAGAGATTTTCGTCATCAGGGGGAACAACTGTTTTAATTACTGGTATTGGTACATCGTGTAATACTATAACGTGTCTCTTTTCTTTACGTTCAATGAGAGGTCAGATCCGAGGACAATAAGCTGGCCCCGGCAACCTCGTTGAATGCGACACCCACTGTACTGATACACTCGCCTACAACACTGGAGGGGACTAAACATGCATGAAATCAAATATAGGTTGGCTTACACATTTCTCTCTGCCTCATCGGACTGGCTTGCATGACTTGAAATGCCAGTAGTAAAAGGAAAGGGTGACCTTATTTAGGCCACATATGGCCTAAATAAGCTAAACCCCCCTCCCTTACCTTATTTGGGCCACAGGTGGCCTA